TTTCCATTGGGCATGGACGATAGGTGAAATGTGCTTCGTTTGTTTAGTGAGAATTCCAGCTTGTCCCTTTGTGCAGGGTCACTGGAGTTTCTGTGGACTTGTTAACCTCGCCTTCACCTCGGGTGATTGAAAGAGGCAGGGCTGGAAAAATCCCTCGGCGTTGCTTTGAAACACTTGATACTCGGTATCAACTAAAAGATGAGGATTGCTGGAAAACTGTCTGTCTTGTCAAAATATTTTGCAGCGCAGGATGGAGGTACTTCTACCTGTGTAGCCTGTGGATAAACTGTAATGAAAGCGGTTGACGACTGAGCACAAGTTCTGTGAGAGCTGGGAAAAAGGTCAAGCTGCATCCAGCTTAAGGTAAAAAGTGTAATTTATGATGTGGTACTGCTAGTGTTCTGCAACAGCTTCATGTTTTTGTGTCAGTTTAGGGCCTTGTTATGATTTAACTGTTAGAGCTGTGTTATTTCAGTTTTGTCTGTGGCACGGACAATTCTTTTTATGTGTTGTTCTGTGGCACCGGTTTCAACATAATAGAAGTTACTGCAGTAGTTTTGGAGTATAAACTTTACAAAGCGTTTAGGACTTCTGGATTAGGGTGATTTTCATTTTAGCTCTGTTTTAAATTCTCCCTTACAGGTGTGAACAAAGGTGGCCCCTGGGCTGAGGCTTCTCAAAGGAAGGTTTGGTCTGGAGTTTGTTTTCATGGCACAGGTGAAGACCTTTGGAAAAGAACTTTTATCATGGAAACAAAGTGTCTATAAATATTAACTAAACCAACAGAATACTTTTTTAAAAAGTTTCTGAGATACTTCTTCCATTTTCTCTGAAGAAAGAATATGTTGAGTGTTCTAATTATATAAAGTTGTATGAAATTCCCCCCTCCAAAGTATTGGAGGAAACTTATTCTAAGTTCAAAACCAAAATGAAATGCTTAATACAGTTGGTTTCCCTACTGCCCCTTTTATATGCACACTGTGTGTATTGCAGGGGTTTGAGAAGTCTTGAGAACTGAAAATGAATGAAAATGTTTCACAGGCCAAATATTTAAGTGTCCTGTCACAATGGTAAATAAACTTTAAATAACATCTTTGCAGAGTACAGCTTTTCTTAAACAAGCAGCAACAACAAAAAAAATACTTTTAGGACAGTAAAAAAAAAAGTAAATCAGCTTTAAAAATGCATATTTAAACTAAGGATTTGGTTTTGTTCTCTTTGTAATGGAAGAAGCAACTGTTACATTTTGATGAAGCGATACTAAGTCTTAGCTGAAGAATTTTTATTATGTGTTTCTGTGAATAAAGCTGTCAGCTACCCGTTAGAGATGTCATTGATTAGAAATACTGCCTACAGACACAGTGTATGGAATCCTCTCTTTTTGGAGTCCTTAACGGAGCGGAGCAGCAAAAGTGGTCTGAGTTTGGTTGTGAGGGTGGGAAGCTGCCCTGTAGGATCCCTGGTCGCTCTCCTGATGGAACATCAAAATATTCTCCATTCTTATCTGTATGCTCTGGTTTTTAAAGCTCAAGCACAAAAAAGTTAATATTGTGAGTAATCACTGTAATCGCTACGGTTAATGTTTGATTTTTGTACATGGTTTACATGTTTGTCTGGTTTCTTCATTGCTCAAAGTAACCTGTTGTTAACTACATAAAAAGGAGATTCTAAATACGGGTTTGCGTGTTGAAGCTGATCATGTCAGAATCCTGGGGCAAACTCTAAAATACTAAAAACACTCACTATAGAAACTGTTCAGTTATTACCGAGCCCGAGTTAGGTTTTGATGTGCTTCTATATGATTATCTTTAATGTATTTTCTGATCTAGCCTTAAAAATTATTTAATGTAACTGCAATTTGGCCAATTAGGTGACTTCAGCCACGGTTTGTTGATGGTTCTCAATGTTTTGTTTTTGGTTTTTTTGTTAATGTGAATACTGCAGCCTTGCATCAATTCAAGTTTCATATGAAGGACTCCTGTACATTAAGCATATACATCATGTGTGAAACGCTGTTGTGTTCTATGCTTAAAATTGCTGGATAGCTGAGCATTTGCTGAAATGAGCTGCTGATTGTTGGGTGGTTGGTTTTTTTTTTTTGTGGCTTATAATACTCCTTTGTAGATCTGCTGGTATCTTGTTTGTCCCTCCTGCATCTGGACAATGCATTCCTTCATGGTTTGTGTAACATCCTCTTCAGTGATTTCTGTGTATGCAGATACGGTAACTGGAAGGAGAAAATTCTGTTCTTGAATCGTCCCACTTCCCCACACCCTGGCATAGCTGGGGTGTTGGTCATTAAGGGGAATTTAGAGCAGTATTGATTGTTGGTATCCAGGAATTCTGGGGAAAAGGGACAAAAATGAGCATTAGGAAACTGTAAATTTTCTGGCAACACAGATTTATACTTTGAGACCCTTAAGATCAATGGGGGAGTGCTATAGGCAGAATGAAAGAAAATAAGAGTTTAAGATGTTGGATGAATAATCACTGGAGCTCACTACTGTTTTAAGAGGCTTGGCTGTCGGTGCTGTGCCTTCTGTCTGTTGTTCAGTTGTTTAAATCTCTCCCAGTAGCATTTAACAAGGTGTAAACTGAGTGGTCAAGTCTAAACCCAGAAGGGTTCTTGTCTGCTCTTATTTGCTCATTTTTAAAATGTAATCAGCCCTTTGAGGGAGTTGGGCAAGTTCAAAACAATATGTTTTTCAGTGCTTGCTTCTGGGACCGGTGTATAATTGCTGCAGCTTGTGAGTGATTCCCATTGCTTTCTGCATTAATTGCTTGCAAATACTCCACATCTGTGTCACAGTATTCTGTTTTCTAGCAGTGTTTCACCTAAGAGATTGATACCTGGAAGCACAGACAAGAAATGAAGAAAGGTTATTTAAAGAAATTTAAGTTAGCAAATTAAGAGAAAAAGAGGTGAATACTTCTAGTGTATCTCAAAACTGCCTTTTTTTTTTTTTTCCAGGTTTGGATTTGTATTCCTTGAGGATCCACACGCTCTGTAAAGCTAGGTTTAGTGTGAATACATTATATTCTGAAGTTCCCAGTTCTTTATTTGCAATAAAATTCTGTAAGCCCTGCTGTCCCGCGGCTTGTATTTTGGTATTTACATTCATCAAATTGGGATCAGTTTTGTGCCGTTTCTGCTTCTGTATGCTTGAGGAGCAGCCGTTTACCTAATGGAATGGTTTCCTACAAAGCAATCAAGAAACAATTCCGTTTCAGAGGCCAGTTCTGCTGCTTCGCTTTAATCTCTTTTCAGATGTACCCTCGGAGTACAGGTGGTGTTAAGGAGGAGATGAATATCTGGAAAATGCCAATTTAGGGGCATAAGATGCATTTACATTCAGTCTGGGAATATACTTGCCGCCTGTGAGTCAGCAGTGTCAACCAACTATGCAGCAGAAAAGAAAATGATAAAAAGGACAGAAGTGACAAAATGAGTGCAAATTATGTAATCAGTGCTTCTCCTTTTATCAAAATAGTTATTTCAAACCCTAATGAGCTTTGCCAGCCAGCGGTAACATTTTGAAGTATTGTATTAATAAGCATTCATTGAATTTTGTTAGTTTTGATACAGCGTTAATTTTCAGTAACGCAGTATTCACATCTAGATGACATTTATCACTGCTACTAAGTAGAAGTAGTACTGAAAAAGGTTAAATATGGATTTTAAGATATGCATGAAAAGAAAAGCCTTTTCATTATATGAAATGAGATCATATCGGTGAAATATGTAGCTGCTACAAGATGGAGATCCCTTGGTCCTGTGTAGAAAGGCTGGGTGATTTACCGAAAATGGGGTAACTGTTTGTAATTGAGCTATGTGATCCTATGTGGTTTATTACTGCAAATTTATTTATCTTGGCACTGATTCATATGTCCTAGCAATTTTAAGGTCTTGCAGGACCATTACATCATCTGGGTTAAACTCTGTATAACATAGGCTTTTTCTGACTTTAGGCAGCTACCCCTGTATTAAGCTAGTACTTACCACAGAGCACATCTTTTAGAAGTGTTTGGTCTTCATTTACAGATGTGGAAGGACAAAGAAGCCTCATTTTACTCTAACTTCATCAGTAGTTAATGACCCTCATTGCTGAAAAATGTAATTAAGCTCTATTTCTAATATGAATTTGTCTGGCTTGAGTTTCCAGGCATTGCCTCTGGTTTCTGCTTCAGCGCTCCAATGCTTTATTCTTAGTGAGATGTTTATACTCTCTAATGAAGTCACCTTTCAATTCTCTTGTTCTAAACTAATCAGACAGTTCTTTAACTCTTGCTGTAAGGCATTTTCTCTAGCTCTTTGTTATTACTATATCTAGATGAATTGTTTTGGTTGTATTTTTATAAAAAAGTTTAAAGAAGAACTGCACATACAGTGTTAACATCTGCCTCCCCAGTGCAATACAACATACTAAAATCAATACTCTTGCTGTTTTCCTGTTGATTTATCAAAGCATAGGATTGCTCTGTGCCTCTTCTTTTCTGTGTCATCTGAGGATTGCAGGTTCACCTAGTTGCTCACTGGGAATTTTTTTGAGCTGTTCCTCTTCAGAACATACATAGAGTTCTACAAAATAGGTTAGAATATTTTATGTCCAGCTATAAACTTTATATTTGCCAGAATAAATTAATTTTCCTGAATAAACCCAAGTCTTCAAATGATTACTGAGTGCTAACCTCACTGGATGGAATTTTTCAGAATTTCTTTCTGTGTTTGTTGACAGATCAGTGGTGAAAATGCTGGATATGATTGGATCCGCACCTTGAGTAGAAATGTACTTTCACAGTGGCAGCTATTCTTATGAGTTTATATACTTAATATGGTCTGTGTAGTGCTTTTTAATCAAACTGTTGAAAGTGAAGCCTCCCTTGACCCCTCCCATACTTCTTTTTTAGAAAGAAAGTAACAGGTTTGACAGAGCTTGCCTTCCGTTATACATCTGTGGCTTTCCTGAAGCCTTTCATGAAAATTTAATAAAATACAAGGGAATATAATAGTCTCAGTGTCCAAGGGCATGGGCTTTATTTTTTTTGCTTAAAAATATATATGTTTGTAACTTGCTTCTAGTTGGGGTTCTCCTGTATTTGCTAATATTAGGCATACCACAACTGCTGATGACCAGATGATCAGCTTCTAGTTCTGTAATTAGTTCATGTTTAATGGGATGCCAAGCAGATACCTGGGCTGTGAGGTGCAGCAATGTTTGTATTTTAAAGGTCATGATAATCTATTTTCATGGGTTCTAACTATGTTTTCACTGCTGATTGCTTGGGATCTCTTGCTTGTAGGATTATCCTCCAAACTGAAGTTCCCTCTGATAATGTTATTTCCAAATTTTATTTATGGATGTTATCCTGTTTTCTGGTTTGGTTACGTGCAGCAAATCTCTGTTTGTAAGAGGCATGGTGATCTATGTCTTTTTAGGTTCAGAGTTATTGATAACTTCAGAAGTTGTGATCAGGGACAATCATATTTTGGGATTGCATCGTCTGATGGCTATTGCTATAAATTTGGTCACCTGCATCATACTTTGATGCAATTTACATTGATTTTTATGACAAGTAGATGCCTCAATACTTGGGGAAGATGGTGGCCCTTGTGCATTTTACCTTCTGTTTTAGCATAGGCATTTCTAAGTACAGACTTATTGCATGGTTTGGTGAGCTGGAGCCTGCACTATCACTATATTTCTTAATCATAAGGAAAGATGAAATTTGTAATATTCTAATTTGACCTGTATAAAACATTCAGAATACTTCCCTGCATTACTGCATGCATCAGAGCTCATGTTTATGACAGCCACCTGAAGGTGCTTTTGAAAATTGGCCTGCGATCATTGCAGTGGCTAACCACCCTTGCTTAAAGAATCAAAAAAACCCAACTGTTTTCTCTTCTGAATTTGTCCAACTTCAGCTTTCAGCTATTAGGCCTTCTTTGACCTTTGGCTGCTCTATTGAAGAGTTAGTTTTGAAGCTTTTGTTCCCATAGGTACATACTTATAGGCAGGGACTGAGCTACTCGGTACTCCCTCCTTGGTATAATAAATTTAGTGTTCTGACTCGGTAGTGAGAGATGTTCGTAATCCTGAAATTCTCTTTTGGCTTTTTAACATTTTGAATTGTGGATGTTTGTTGGGACATACGATGTGTCATGCTGGTGCCAAATACAGGCATACAATGATCTCGGTTTTTAACTCTCTTTCTGTCTTGTCATCTAGTAAGTTATGGTAGTCTTCAGGCCGATCTATTTGCACACCATAATTTCCTGTAATTCCAACACTTCTATATAAATTTTCCTTGTGTCAGTTCTGAAATAGGTAGCTTTTCATTATCCTTTTGCCTGTGTTGATGTCCTTCAAGTGCATGATCCAGATCTGTCCATCAGTGGCGTATCCTCTTCCTGTTTACCATTTTCCCCGGTCCTTCTGCCAGCTGTGCCTCCTATCAACAGCAACTGTTTGTCTTCTGGGTCATTGGTAAACTGTTAAATAGCAGAGGGCCAAGAACTGGTCCTACTTAGTTATATTTTTAAGTCAAATAATGGATTTTTAAAAATTAATTTTGTTATGTTTGTAAATGACTTGATTTTTAAAAATCAAAATAATGAGTGGATAAATCATTTGTCTTTGAAAATGCCAGATACACTGCATCAATGTTCTCCTCACATTTAGTATTACATTTACCTTTATTTAGCTGTGGACTTCCTGTATACATTCATCAATTGTAATGCTGGTAGTCATATATTGGCATTTGTTCATGTAAATAATTATTTAGTATCTTAACATCTGAAACTGCTGTCTCAAAACTAAGATTAGTTCTGGAGCAAAAATTCTATTGACTTCTGTGAGGCCCATAATTTACATATCTGAGCCTATGTATGTGGAGCCTGCATATCTGGAGACTCTGAATACCATATGTAGCTAGTTTTGTTTCTATACTTAATAAGTATTAGAATAAACTTTTCAATAAATTGATTTATCTAGGAAAACAATAGGTTTCTGCCTTTCATGCTGGCCAACTAATGAATAGTGTCAGAAGAAATATTTTGCTTTGTTAAGTATTTGAATGTGATGTCCGAAATTGAGAGATTTGGGAAAAATGTTTGCCTTTCTCTTCTATGCTGAAAGCTACTTCGTCAGTCCTCTAGTGGCTGCAGAGAGAATGTATGTAAATACAGACGGGCAAATGGGATTGTGTTAGCAAAGACCAATATAAGCGCATTCTCAGTGGGGTCCATAACTTACTGTCAGTGCCTATTGGGTGTCACAGCGCCTAAATGTTCAACTTGGCAGGTTAATTCAGGGCAAAGCCGTGCCAAAGGGCAATTTGGCATTCCCAGGGGAGCTGTCAGGGAGAGGGGTGATGCCAGGGATGTGTCAGCTGCCCATCCTTCTTGGGAGATGGAGGAAGGAGGTGCTTGGTGTACTTCTAGAGGGTTGATGG